CGAGTGCTCGCTTGGCACGGCCTCGTCAACCAGCTCCACGGCCAGCTCCAGGAACTCCGACAGGTCTGCGGGCAGTCCCTCCGTCTCGGAGTCCGGTAAGTATTCTGCTGTTTCGTATGCTTGCTCTTGTTTCGTGTTCGATGACACTGTTCGCCGTTTAATCATTATGTTGCTTCTGGCACCAATTTCGTTGTTATTGGTACGAATAGGGATGATTGGTGGATAGGTCAATTTTTTATTTTTAATAAATTTAATGGGCAAAATATATTCGATTAAATTCGGTTAAAAATGATATTTTTCTAATATCTTTTATTTTATGATTAGAATTGATTCTAGATAGAATGAATTAAAAAATTATTGACGATTTATCTCTAGCAATAATAAAATTTTAAAATTTCAAAAAATTGTATTGTTATAAAATATTAATTTTCTTTCTTTTATATCTTTTAATAATAAATTAAAGATTGTTTAAATCAGTAGAACATAAATTATAATGTAATTATAAGTAAAGAAAAAATTATTTTTTTGTACAATAAAATAATTTGGATCTTTATAGAAGTAATAAAAACTTGGATATAAAATTCAAACTATAGAAACTTATAAACCAATCATTTTATCTTTAATTTTCTTTATGACCTTAAATTATTTATTTATAAAAAAATATTATAATAAGTAATCTAATAAATTTTAAAATATTCTTTTAACTATTTATACTATTTATTAATAACTATATAAAGTGTCAAAAAATATAAAATCTTTAAGAAAAAATATCTATTTACCCTAATAATTTATGAAAAGTATTATTCAACGAGTAATAAATTACATTTCTAAGGGCGAATAATTCAAAAGTGGACCATTATACTATATTACACAATATACACTATATAAATATAATAATGAGGATGAGTTTATCTTAAATTAATTATATGACAACTCGTGATCTCGCTACTTGAGCGATTCAACTACAATCATTGATATATTAATAAATTTGAATATTGATACATTTTCTCTGATTATTCGTAAAACTTCCTTGAATTCCTATTTTAGATATAAACAAATAGGAATTATTATTTTTCAGAATAATTTTATTTTATTTCTTAATCTTTTTAATAGTTGAAATTAAAAGTTTAGAATTGATTTATATTAGTCTGCAGAAATCCTAGTAGGTGGCTCAATATTAACAACATGTCATAAATCTGAAGTTCAGTAGCAACACTTAGTGGACATAAAATTTCCTCTTTCAATCTAGCTTGCATGTTCATTTTGTTCACTTTAAATCATTTTGGTAATCAGGTGCTTAGGATTTTATGGATTATTCAAAAGGGTTATAAGATTCTATGACTATAAGGTTGAAGCTGATTCGTTGCTTAGGTTAATATTCAAACGTAAATATTTTTATAAGTTACCATATCATTTTTAACAGTGTTTTTTTCATAATAAAATTCACATTTACATTTTTTATTTCTTCTCAATACATATCATTAACAGAATTTATTAATACTCTAAAATAAACGAATATTATTCGACAAACTGTATAATAGCGAGATTGAATTATAATTGATATTGTTTTCATTATTTTATTTATAAAAATAATTTTTATTATTTTATATATTTTTATAAATTTTTAAATTTTATATATAAATATTTATAATAAATTATAATAAATAAATATATATAATAAATTTATAATAAATAAATAAAATAATAATAATATAAAATATAAATAAAATAAATAATAATATAAAATAATAATAATAATATATAATAAATAAAATATGAATTAAATAAGATCTTAGAAGTTATCTATATATGTTTTTTTAAGATTTTACTTTTTTAATTGAGAGATAGATGGATATTATTAGAAATATCCATGTAAAGGAAATGAATCTTATCGATAATTTTTACATTTTTGTATTTTTTAATATCTGTCAGAAAATAGATACTGTTTATCATATGTAAATGATATTATTTCTTTAGATATTTATAGATTCATTTTTTTAATTGCTGGAAAATTGCTAAATATATGCAAAAGAGTAAATGTTAATGCATTGACAATTTTTTATATATATTTTTTATAGGTATTTTATTTTTTAATATTAATTACAATTGAGTTTTATAAATTTTTTGAACTTACTTTTTATTATATACTTTTTATTGAAATTAATTTTAATTAATTAATCAGATAAAAAGTTAATGATTGAACAAAGATTTAATGAATGTATTGAAGAAAATTAAGATTAAATCTTAAAAAAATTAACATATTTATACAAAAGTTTATTTACAAAATTATAAGATATTTTATTATCTATTCTTTAATCCAACTATATACTATATTCTCATTTTTGACTTCATTATAAAATATTATTATAAAGAAAATATAAAAGAATCATTCCCAATATAATAATATATTCGTTTTAATTTTAAAGTTTTTCTTAAGACATCAAAAATATCTTTTTATCAAATTTTATTTTATATCTAATGAGAATTAGAGCGAACTTAATTTTTTTATTTAAAATAACATTCTTATAACATTATGAATTTCCAAAATTGCAAAATTGAGATTCATACAATTAATAATTCTGAATATTTCTATCTTTTTATTTTTAATTAATATTTCTATCTTTTTATTTTTAACTAATATTTCTATCTTTTTATTTTTAACAATAGATATCTATAAAAATGCAAATGTATCTTTTTATAGAAAATGAATAAAATTAAATATGAATGGAAATATTTTGTGATTTGAAAAAAGATTTGAAAAATATATTTTTTATTTTACATTTTTTGCATAAAGTATATTTTTCATATATATACTTAAAAATATATCGAAAAATATAAATACATATATTATTATCCGTATAAATGTATTATTATAAATGTATCATACTTATATAAAATATTTTTTTCATTAAATTGATTTCGTCTGTCAATAAATTTTCATGTTATAATTATGTAATATCGATAATAATAATATGTAGTCAATGCTGATTATTAATTGTGTTTTTGTATTCTTGTTAATTGAGTTATTAATTAAATGTAATAGTTTATAATTTTGAATTTCAATATAACAATTCAATGTAATTGTTACAATGATGAATTAAATTTTTTGAAAATATTTTTCGATATTTAAAATGCTGAAAAAATAGAATATTATTAGGAGAAAACTAGGAGAAAAAGGTTAAAGATGATTTCATTTTCATTATTCATTACGAAAGTAATGAATAAAATATAAATCATATTACCAAATTTATACTAATAAAATTATAATACTTAATACGATAACATCATATTTTAATATAAAAATTTTTGATAAATTCTTATCTATAAATATCGTCTATAATTATCTATAAATTAACACCATCGAATTTAAAGAAAATATTTGTAATTTGTTATAATTTGTTGTAAGTATAAATTTTTATTATATACCACAATATAATATAAATCATATTGTTATATTGTAATGATTGTTTATATTTAATATTATCTACGTTTAAAATTTAAATATAAATAAAAAATTTAAATCATATTTAATAAATATTAATTATTAAGTATCAAATTATATTAAAATATCTATTATCCTATTAATAATATCTAATATTAATATATTGATATTTTATCTTATATTGCATATATTTTTCAAAATGTTAGAAAAATTTTCCAAATATATTTAATTTATATATTTTTCATGTATAAATGTCATATATTTTTCGCATATTTGTCATATATATATATATATAAACATTCGCAATCTATTAATTGTTATTATCAAAAAATTTTAAATAAAATTATCAAAGTTAAGGAATTAAGATATAAAAATTTCAAAAGAGAACAAATTCTAGAGTCGAAATTCATGTCAATGATCAATCGCATGTCTTTTGGTCATTGTACCGGAGGAACGATTTTAGGCCGCAGATTTCTAATTTCATGATTTTGCAGGCGATGAAGCAGCAAGATTGGCTGAGTCAGCTCGTTAGGAAAACTCAGACAAAACCTTCCCTATATAAATATCGTTCTTGGTTGAGAGTAAAATTGGAACAATCCGCGAATTATGAGTCAACTATTACTACAATGCCTCGTTTCAATGTCACGGTTTCGAGCGAGATATCGGAGAATGAGGGTAGTTTTCGAGGATAATTGGAATTTCTTGAGAACATGAAATTATGAGTTTCTCAGTATTTCTAATTGCAATTATTTATTATTTAGGTAATTTTATATTAAAAATTTCCTACACATATTTATTTTAATATTCGTTTGGCTTATTTATTTTAATATTCTTGTTTGTTTACGAATGTTTTTTAAATAGAGAAATTGAAATTTTGCTAGCTAGATTTTTTTGTGATTTTGAATAACGTCATTTTTATTATAATTTTATTAAATATTCTTTGATCAATCTTATGACAGATTTTCTATTCATTAGTTTCATTAATAATATTGAATGATATTATAACATAATTATAAATTATGTATATATTCGGTAACATAAATTTTCTTGTATTTTGAAACCTATTTGATACATCGTGTCTAAAGTTTTTCAAAAATTTTCAATTAAAATTTGAAAAAATAATGTATTTTAGCATATATGTATATTTGTATTAAAAAATATATTTCAATTAATTATCTAAAAGTTCGAAAATAAATAAGCATTTTTATTTTGCTATAAAAATATTAGATCTACTAATGATTATTAATGTGTGAATGTTAATACATCTAAAAATACAATAAATTTTATTATTATTTATTATGATGGATACTAAAAAAATATTAAAGATTCATTTCGATTATATTAATATTAAATATTTTATATTTATTACATATAGATTTTTAATATTTCATTAATGTCTTCACCAAATTGTGTGTGATTGAAAATGTTGAGAGATATTATTGTAATATTTACAAGGGAAAATATTGATTTTGAATATGTTTTGAACATTTTGAATTATTCTTATAAAAAATAGATTGAGTTTCAGAATCAGAAGTATTGTCAGTATTTTTTAGAAAAATTTTTTGGAAAAATTATAACATTTGAAATCTGAATTTTATAGTTTCAAAAAAAATTGAAATTTTTAAACTTATAATGCTTTAAAATTTTTTATTT